GTATTTCAATTTTTATCATAAAATCTATAAAGTCAGCAAAAGAATGGTATTAACGTAAGATCTAAGATATATTTGGCGAAAGTTCTGAAAACGATCATGCTCCGATTTAAATCAAATTGTACAAATAGGTTCCTTTTAGGTAAAAAAGAAATATGCGAGGAGGATTTTGGACGACTCAAAAATTAAAGCACGTTTTAAAAAATTTTATGTTGAAGTGAATATATTAAGAACAACTACCACCAAATTATTTAAAACAAGTTTTCAAAACGTAATATATATATATATATATATATATATATATATATATACACACACACACATATATTACCTTTAGAAAACTTGTTTTAAATAATTTGATGACAGTTGATCTTAATGTTGACTTAACTTCTAAGAAAGTCAAAATTATTGTTTTTTTTACATTTTTTTACATTATTTGCAAGTTATGGATCATAATATTCTAAATTAGTTGGCTCTACCACTCCTACGGGCGGCTCCTTACTTTGTACACATTTTGATTATACATATAAACTATTATAATATTTATCATAATAAAGTTGTAATCACATTTAAATAAAATTGTAAATTTACTTAATACATCAATTCTATGATTTTTCGATATAATATACACTTATTCTTCATTAATTAAAAGATTAATTTTTTCAATGTTTATATAACTATATTTTATTGCGAATATTACATTTGTAAAGGGTGCGATATTTTATATATAGTTTGAACTTTTTTCTTTAAAACAAACCAAGGTAAAAGGCGATAGGATTATTTGTTTAAAAGTTATGAATTTTTTCGTAGATGGAACATTTATGTCCCCGGAAGTACGAAAGAGTTAATTTCTGGTGAACTGATTTAAAATAATTTGTTTAATAATTTGGATCCCTTATTGGAATTCAGAATATTAAATAGATTATTTGAAATTAGATGAATAAACGGCTAATAGTCCATTTATTGTATTAAAGTATTTCTATTGCCGAGTGCATATAAGATAGTCGTATATAGATTATCGAGATAAGCATTTAATAAAAAACAAATGTTTTTTAAATGTTTTATAAACGTTTTATAAACGGTTATAATAGATTTTAAAATAAATCTTTATCTCACTTAAAGGATATAAAAACCTCTAATCAAAATTTTGTGTTTATATTAACCGATCTTTCTGATTAAAAAGTCATTGATTCGTCTTTTCAACTGATGATTTTTTATTGGATTGCATTTTGCAATTTCGTTATTATTATAATAATACAGAAAATCTATATATTAAATCCTATCTTTGGCTTTTATAGACTTAATTTCTTATTATTTTTTCATATATTGAGGATATTATACTAATATATATAAATACAAAGTATTATTGCATACATATTATATCGCTGTAATGTTACATTGTAATATCTCCGTAAGCGGACTTTTTTCTGTTGCTGCAATATTACAGCAATTTTATAACAACATTTTGCAACGTTTCTGCAATGATGCAATCTTACAGAAAAATGTTGTTGCAATTTTATTGTGCTCTGTGTATAGGGTTTTAAAAAGAGAAACATTTTATCTTATAAAAAATATATACAGAAAGATATTTTTCCAAGAAAAGTTTTAAATGAGTATTTAAGAATTAATTTAGAACAAATATTTAAAAAAAGAATAGAATTATATTGTGACTCATTTTTTCATCACACATTTTATATACATATAGAAATTCTCTGTAGATATATACAACAGTTAATATATGTATATATCTGTTAATTTAATTTAAAAAATGTATGATTATTTATTAAAAATTAAGAAAGCAGATTTTGTGCAAAGAAATTGGATCTTCAAAAATGCCTTTTTATATAACAAAAAGACAAAAAAATATTGAAAACGCTATATTAAAAACCATCAATTGCGCATTTAAAACATTAATTAATTAAGCTTTTTAAAACAAGACAAAAAAGCAACATAGATTATGTTGCCAAATGTTAGCCATGCATGCACTTTTTATATTTCATTATCAAATGCTCTATAAACATCGTCAAAAACATTAATTATTTCTCGAAAGAACGCGGTTAAGTTAAATAAAAAAAACACAATAATGAAAAAAAAATTAAATTTTTCAGAATTCAGTTTGCTTTTAAAAGATTAAGATTATTGTATTTAAGTAATTAATAATTAAGAATTTAAAAGATTAAATTTTTTATATCACACTCAATGGTGGTCTTTATAAAATCTATATCTTGTAGTTTATAATATATATAAATTTAAAAATAAGATAAATAAATTTTTAAAGGTAATTATTTACATGATAATTGAATAATTGAATAATTGAATATTAACGGACTTCGCCGATGACGTTGACCTTTACATATGTTATAGAAGTGAGGATGCTGATTAATTTTTCTCTTTGTTCTATTTAACGGTCTCTTTTTGAGATATTTAACAAAAAAGGTTTAGTATGATCAAAACGTAATTTTTTAACACCATATACATTTGATACACAAACTACATGAGCTGTTAGTGTATTAAAAGAGGCCTTTCCCCTACATCCCCACTCCGAAAAAAAGTTTCCATTTTGTGTAATACAAAAAGACAATGCAATTTGGATTATAACTCAAATTTTAGTTGTAAATCAGAAATACTTCATATACTTTATACTTCATATATTTATTATACTTCATATATTTATTATACTTATTTGCAAGACAAAGCGAAGTTTTTTCTATACTTAACAGTGGCTTTCGCTTCATCTTGTAAAGTACACGCATTGACACTATGAGTCCCGCCCTCCCCTTCCTACGGAGGGGCTCCACTTCCGAAAATATAATCTATAACTCAAACCTATTTCTGATTTACAACTAAAATTTGATTTGAGTTACATTATATAATTCAAATTGTGCATTGTGCTTTTGTATTATATAAAATGGAAATTTCTTTTTGGGGTGGGATTGCAGGAAAAAAGGCGAACCTTCTTTTAATACACTAACAGCTCATGAAGTGGGTGTATATGGTGTCAAAAAATTACGTTTTAATCACTAAATCTTTTTTTTGTTAAATATCTCAAAAACTGTAAGAGACTACTAAATAAAACAAAGAGAAAAATTAATCAACAACTCGTACAACATATGTAAAGATCAAGGTCATCGATGAAGTGTCTGTTAATGTAAATAATTATCTTTTTAAGAATATTTTTCATGATAATTCTGGTCGGATTTATTGATCCAATGATAAAACATCGCCTATAAAAATGATAGGTATTCTTGGCTATACTTCCGTATATTACTCTGCTTTGATTTTAATAAAATTTGACACGTAGTACTCACTAAATGTAGTCAAATAAGTATGAATGTAACGTCTAGTTTTCGAGTTATTCATAATTTAGTTTATAGCTAAATAAGTAATTTTTCAGATTTCCATTTAAAAAACAAGATTAAAATTCAATAACATTTTGTTGAAATGTTTCATTTCATTAATATGTTACATAAGAATGTAAACATCAACATTATTATCAAAATGAAAAAATACAAATTTAAGATTATTTTCATTCAAAAATTTATCTATTTACATGCAGTAAATCAAGGCATAGAGGACAGACTCTGCCTCTCCTCTTGCATTTCGAGAAAAATTTTTGTTTTGTACAATACGAAAGTACGATGCAATTTAGGTTATATAATGTAATCTAAATCAAATTTTAATTGAAAATCAGGTTTAATTGTAAATTAGTTTGATTATATCTTACGGAAGTGAAGCTTCGCCGTAGGGAAAATAAAACCCACTATGTTTACGCATGTACTTTAAAAGATACAATAACAAGCAAATAGAAACATAAATGTTATTGAATTTTAATCTTTTTTCGAGTGGAAATTTTAAATATTGTTTATTTAGCTATTTAATTAAAAGAACTGTCTCGAATTGAGCCATGTAGTGATCACTGATGATTTATGTATCAGTGTTTAGGGCGAAAATATTAATCAGATTCAATCAAGGTGTTCGGCCTATTGAAGGTGTTAAACATAATAAATATATGTTTATTCGGATGGTTTCGTGCCTTATCGGCTCGTTTAGATGCCGAGCGTATCTCAAATACCATATTATCGTTACAACATTCTACGCCATTTTTTGCAGTAATGAGTTTGAATTGAATCCTTTGCTTCGCTATTTTTCTCTGCTACTATATAGACATAATACATTGCTCTATTAGTATGTCTAGATTGTATTCTATCTTTTTCTAGAGTGTATTTTATCTTTTCTTCATGTTTTGCAAAATAGAGCTTAGATTAGTATGTATATTTTGATCCCTCTTATAATCCCGCACATACAATGTAGGTACTCAGAACCTCAATGTTATTATTGTTCAGACTATTTTTACACCTATATTCATAGGTATATAAGTCATATCTGTATTCGCTCATGGCAAGATTCCACAAACATTAGGACACGGTCCTTTGTATATCTCGGAAACTAGACATTTTCGTATATTTACTTGTAGCGTTCGATTATATTTAGTGAGTATTATATACATACTTGTAAAATTTTATCAAAATCGGAGCAGAGTAGTATATGAAAATTTTACCTTCTTTTCTCATAAATGTCGAGTAAAAAAAATTAAAAAAAAAAAACCACAATAATTCAGATCAGCTAATCATGATCTGACCATTAAATGCAATACTGTATTTATTATATGCAATATATAAGATTTTATTTTTAAAATAAAATTGTCGAAAGAGCAAAATTTATAAAAATGCGATTATTTATATTTTTTTTGATTGTTTCAATAAAATTATAATATTTTTATATAAGAATTTCTATATTAACATTATAGGAAGATGAAAGAATAGCATACAAAGAAATGAAATTTTAATAATCTATAATAAATATATAAAAATAAAAAAAATACATTAGATTAATTTCGAAAAGTAAATTTTAGAACCATTCTTAAAAAATATACGCGCATTATTTTAAATTATATTTTTTTTCTAAATGAATTTTTAAAATAAGCAATTGATTTTTTTACTCACCTCTCCAGCTCACTTTGATCGGACATGTGATTGTCTGATTCTTAATGAGATATGCGTTCAGTGACGTTAGACTTGGACTTTTTCGTAATGTACCCTCGTCATTTTTCCATACGTACGTAATCGCTGTCTGTTCGTAAGATACTAGAGAAAATGAAAATAAAAATTTTATTAATTTTCTCACACTTCAAAGATATTTTAATTGTTTTCTTTGTCTTTCTTGGTACTACTAGTATCCAAAAGTTCTATTCTAAATGTGATACTTACTGCTCTCAATCGCGAATGAACACAATGGGTCATCAAAGGGGAAGATATTAAGGCTACCTTGGCAGGATATAATAAGATGACGCCTGTGAAACGATATAATAATTTATTTACGATAATAACCTATATACATGAGTACAAAAGAAGTAAAAAATGTCGAATGTGCTATATTGATTCCAAGTTATTCATAAAATTCTGTAAAAGATTTTTTTAAATATTTGCAATAATGCTAAATATCTATAAAAAAGATAATACATTAGAGCATTTTCATTTTGAGATATATTTTTTGTAAATCAACGTTTTGAATGATTTACTTTTAAATTTGAATTTATACTTTAAATTGAATGGATTCAAGTTTTTAATTATTGTAAGATGTTTTTAGTTTTTTCTTGTTGATATATTTTTTAATAAACTCAACACCAATGATTTTTATGATATTTATATTTATTGTCAATGCATAACTTTTAATTTTTTATAGAATTTTTAATTATCATTGACTTTTTATTCCAAAGTTAAGTAAAATCTGAAAAAAGTATATATATATATATATATATATATATATATATACTTTTTTTTCAGATATATACATATATATAATATCGAAAATATTAATATATCATTAAATATAAAATACGTCTATACATATATATTTTCTCTTTCTTATATAATCTCTGCTCCTATGTATAGGAATGTGCGTAAAAAAATAAAAAGAACAATTAAAAAATTAAAATATAAAATAATTTTTGCGTTATATTTCAAGAAAAGAATAAAATTTAAAGAAATGATAAAAAAATTGCTAATATATAATTAGATACTAAGAAGAGAGTAAAATCCTTAATTAGATATTAAGGACGAGAATAAAATAACCTAATTTTGGCCATAATAATGGAACTTTTTTTATGTATGTTTTCTTATATTTTTTGATGTACTGCATCATTATCAAATATTAATTTCAAATTGATCTGATAGGAAAATAGCATTTAAAGTAGCACATATTTGTGGAAATTTGAACAAAAACTCAAGAATATATAACATATTCTTATTCTTTCCTTCTTTTCTTACTACTTTCCATCTCATTCCTTCTACTTTTACTTAATTTAATATCACTCATTCTAACAAAAAATCATCCTAGCTTAATCCAATTTTTATCAGAACAATGCTCTTGGCAACGCTCGTGAAGTGATAAAACGAATTTCAGAGAAACAAAAAAGTCTTTAACTGCTTGCAAAATTTGTAACAATAATCGAGATATTTAATATTAAAATCAGGCTTACAAATAAGAGCGCGCCAAAAGACTGAGAGGAGCGTTCTGGTCTTCGAGCCATAGCATGACTCCATCAAGATATTAAAATAGAGATATTAAAATAGATGATAGATATCTTAAAGAAGAAGATAGATATCTTAAAGTAGAGGAAATGGAAATAGTAAAAAGAGAAAAAAAATATTGTATATTTTTAAGTTTTTGTTAAAATTTCTATAAATCTGTTAATTTGAATGCGATTTTCGCTATTTTTCCATCAGATCAGCTTGAAATTAACGTTTGATAATGATTCAGCAAAAAATATAAGAAAACATACAAAAAAAAGTTCCATTGTCACGGTTAAAATCAGGTTATTTCATCCATCATTCTTTATATGATTATATATGAATTTTTTTCTCAATTTCAAGCGCGCGTGTGTTTGTGCATGCGTGCGTGCGTGTGTGTGTGTAATTATATATAGATTCTTTTCTCGGGAATAAATAAACAATATATTTTCTGTATAAAATGGAAACTTTAACAATTAATTATTTATTAAAAAGTCATTAAAAAATCATACTTATTAAGAATAAGAAGTAAATGCGTAAGCAAGGAAGAAGTTCCGTCTAATATAGTGGTTATTAATCATTTCTCAATTTTTATCACTTTTCTATTTTTTATACTTAAAAATATTTAAAAAAAACAATAATAAAATCGTACATTTTATTTTTTTATTAAAGTGAAGGCAGATAATGTTTTGCTATAATATGAAAAAAATGCTGCTTAGCATTTGACAGAAATATAGCAAAAAAAAAATTGCCGCCGGAAATATAAAAACTATTTTCTAAAAAATATTATTAAAAATCCTTTTTGTTCAAAAGAAAATAAATCACATGTACATTAAATTTTAATTTCAATAAAATTTAATAATTAATATTGAATCACTAATATTTGTTTATTATTTTGTAGAAATATATTATTAGTATATGTATATCTGGAATAAAATTTATACTTTTAGAAAATTTAATTTTTATATAAAATATATGGAGTTATATTATATATAAATACCGCATAAGGTAGTTGACAGTGCCATTGCGATATATCCGCAGGGCAAAGTGAACGGGAATAATGGGATCCTTGAAATCTCCATGCATTATGAAATATGTATCCGGTAACCAAATATCTTCGTAATGATGAATCGCATTCAAAAATTCGTATTTGGATCTGTTGCTATAACGTAATCGTGGATCGTACCATTGTTGCTGCAGTAAAAATTCCACTTCATATTTCTGTAAAAACAGATTGGCAATATCATAAATAATTCGAATTAATTTATGATTATACATGAGGACTATAAATGAATTATCTCATATTAGTCGTTTTCTAATTTTTTACACACACACACACACACACACACACACACACACATACGCACGCATATATATATATATATATATAGTGTGAGTGTCTCATGAAGATTGTACCCACATTTGTCAGTAGGTAGAATGCAGTAAACTGAACAGAAAAATCCATTAGGTGTGCCAACGACGAATATTATACAACAACGAAAAACGGTCAGGAAATGCACGACCGAACTTTTCATTATTATATAACACTCGACGCTGGCATGCAGATGTACGCTGATCTAGAGCGTACATCTCATAGTCTAGCTGTGTGAAACACGCGTTTATTCACAATCCTTTATAATTAATATTTCAATCATTATTGCAGAAATTGCAAAATGGTAAAGAATTTTTCTGCTCAGTTTACTGCGCTTTATACGCTCATCAACGTTGACAGAATCTTTATAAGACAACCTATCTCTCTCTCTCTGTGTGTGTGTGTGTGTGTGCACATACATACAAACTCAGCACTTAAAATACGCTGAATAATTCTTTTATTCTTAATGATAAAAAAAATATTTAAACGAAACTTTGGCTTTAAGAGATACATTCAAAGATGAGACAATTTCTATTGAAAGTTGGAGAGATAGGGCATTTTAAAGTCATCAACATTTTTGTCAAATGGAATGATATATTTTTTTATTTACTTTCATTTTATTTTTTAATAGAACATTTTAAAACGTGTATGTGATATAAAGTCAATTAAATTCAGTTACGAAAAAAAATAATTTATTTTAAGAAGGATATCAAACACTTCCTGAATTTATTGTTTAAGACACATAGCGCTTTTGTAAATTTTAAATTAATGATTTTAAGAATTGATATATGCTCTAAAGTGATTAGTTACGAAAAATATTCCGTTTCGAATATTTCATTTGTATTTTGTATTTATTATAGAATATGCTCTTCTTATACACTCTTTTGTATTTTTTTTGGTTTTTTTCCTTAGATGTTAGTATTTTGCTGTATATTTGCTTTAATTTGACTTACAAATAAAAGTCCAAGGATATTAAGTCCGATGGTCGCCATTTATGTATATAATATATACAGAGTAGACCATTTTAATCAATAAACGCGAATATCTCAGAAACACTACATTAAATTGAAAAATATTTCAGATATAAGTTGGCTTGAAGGGGGACATAAGATGGTACCATTGGTTTGACCTTGAGTGGCGTTGTCAAGATCAGGGAAAGGTCACTTTGGATTTTTTAAATGGAACTTCCTACTTTTTATTACATATTTTTGTAGCTTATCTCGAGGGCTTTCCAAAACACTATAACAAAATATTTTTCCCTCAAGTACTTTTTGAGTTATAAAGCTTGAAATCATTTCATCTAAAGCAATAAGTTAAGGAAGTGTTTGATCTCTTTGTTAACATAAATTATTTTTCTTCGTAACTAACTTTAATTGAATTTGTATCATTACATCATACACATGTCTTAAAATATTCTATTAAGAAGTAAATGAAAAAATATATCATTCCATTTGAAAACAATATTGATGATCTTAAAATGTTTTCCTAATCTTCAATCAAAATCATCTTATTTTCAAATGTATCTTTTAAAGACAAACAAGTTTCGTTTAAAACTTTTTTATTATTATTAAGAATAGAAAAGTTATTCACATGATCTATTTTAAGTGTCCCACCATGTATATATATTATATTTAATAAATGAATCACTTTTTTTATACAAAAAATTTTGAAGTATTATCATTTGTAGCTATTCTTAATACTTAGAATATGTCACATTTATTATTTTTTTTATTAAACTAGAACACAGTAAAACGTAATTATATTACCAGACTGGATTCGTCTGGAGAAGCTAAGCTTAACAACAATACGCTCACGTTCACAGTCAATGTTCCTGAAACAGTAAACAAATACGATTTTAATTGTCACATTTCATATCATCCAATCAATAATGTAAATTATTAATATATATTTCTTTAAAATAATATGTATTTTTTATATTTGAACGTTATATTTTATATATAATGAAAATATATACATAAAATATGAAGATCTTCAATATAAAAGATATAATAGTAAAAGGAAAAGATATATTAGGATAGCAAAAATACTTTTTAACAAATTGCTCTATCAGATATAAATACTGTTATATATATTTAGAAAAATTCTCTTTTCTTTATCTTACAGAAAAAAAATAATGTAAAATAATTCATATTTCATAATTTGTATCAAACAATTAATATTATATATATATATAGATCGATTGGCGTACAATTTTTTCATTGCATGGAAATTGCTCGAAGAAATTTTTATACAATTCTGAATATGTGAAATATAACGAAAATATTATATTAGTTTTTAAGTTACATTAGATTTTAAATTTGTTATTATATACATATATACAGGGTGTATTGGGAGTAGAAGCGAGTAGGAGATGATTTTATATGAAAAAATAAGTATAAATGTAGAATAGCATTTTTTCATATTCGTTTTTTGAGAAAATCGACTTTAAATATTTGTCAGATATATGGATGAAATACACACACACACACACACACACACACACACACACACACACACACACACACACACACACACACACACACACACACACACACACACACACACACGCACGCACGCACGCACGCACGCACGCACGCACGCACACACACACACACACACACACACACACACACACACACACACACACACACACACACACACACACACAGTCTGGCTATAAAGTTTTAGGATTAATTTATTTTATAATTATAAAACGTGCCTAAACAGCGTTATCTTTCACCACCTGAAATCTCTTGCATTAATCTTTAATTACACCTCCATTAAGTTTTATTCATATTGGTTCAGTGCAGTTTATATTCCTGTTTTGTGTGACATGTTTATTTTATCTTGTTATGAAAGTGTTTATCGAGCAACGTATGCAACCAAATTTTGTGTAAAATTGGATAAAATTATGCAAAATATTGATTAAAATACAATAAAAACAAATGAAATGATAAAAAAATGTAAAATGGATTGAAAAAAAATCGCTAAGAGCGGAGATATTCTGATTCTGAAAGTCAAGAATGGAAACAATATTCATTATTTTCTTTGATGTGGAAGGCATGATTAGCAAAGAATTTGTCCTACGAGGGACAACAATTAATTGAATTTTACAAAACGTCATTGAAAAGTTGCTGCAAGAATCAGCCGCGTATGACTTGAAATGAAAAGAAATGATGATTGGTTTCTGCTCCATTACAGCGCTCCAGTATATAACGCTACAATCACTTTTTAGCATTTAAAAACGTGACTGTATTTTATCATCTCCCCCCTATTCTCCCAATTTGACTATTTTCTTTCTCTCAAACTTAAATTAAAGTAAAAAAAGAAGCCGATTTGAAGCAGACTCAAAACAACGTTACAAGACAATTAAACAGTGTTCCATTTCGGATTTTCAGAACACTTTATACAAGTTGAAGAAGCGCATCAAGCTCTGTGTGGAATTAGAAGAAATATATATTGAAAAATAAAAATGATAATATTTAAGATATAATGACTACATTTTTTTGTAGAGATAATTCTAAAACTTTATAGCCAGACCGTATATACAATATTCTACCTATTCAGGTTGTCGTCGATTAGAATATTAGATTCAATAGTAATTAGCTGCGGTCAAAAGCATTATTATTACAAGTACTAAGTGCAAGAATCCATATCCGTATTGTGATATATATCCATATAAAAAAAATGACAAAAACTGAGACTTATCATGGAGTTATTATTAGCATAGATAAACTATATTAAGCCGATACAAAAAATTTTGCTGTCGACAATGTTTGTGAAGACAAAGGTGTGAGAGCAAAGACATACGAGTATAGTAAGCTTGAGACTAGACATAGCATGTATATCTGATAAATATTTAAAGTCGTTTTTTTTTTAAACAAAACCGTATATGACTTTATTTACATTTTGGACTTGTTTTTTTTTATATAAAATCACTTCCTTTTCTCGCTTATACCATCAATTTCGAAACACCTTCCATATACATACATATACAGAGTGGATAAAATAAAACGTTACAAGCTGTTATCTCTAAAAGTATGCATTAGTAAAAAAATGTTTTAAATAAAAACGTTTGGTTCTGAGTAGGGGAAAATATTAATTAGACCTTGAGTTGGTAGTTATCAAGATCATATGAAGGTCAACCTAGTTTTTTTTAAGCGGTACCATCTTAATTTGTCTATATGAATCGATTTCTCACAATATTTCACGTAAAAAATTATAAAGATAAGATGGTCAAAAACTGAATAGTTTACGAGATATTTTATACTTTAATACCCGATTTCAACGCGGTTGTTGAAATCGGGCATAAGTTAACAAAATTTAACATAATTAACCATAAAAGATGTCGTAAAATATGTCAAAATATTTATTTTTCGATTACTTTATTTATTTATTTACTTTATTTATTGCAATACTTTTATGCACAGAATAATGAGAAGAATCAATTCATGTAAAAAATACACGTAATTGTTTTTAAAAATATGTAGCTTAAAATATGTGTAGAAAAAAGATGTAGCTGCTCATTTTTAAATTCATATCTTTTGACTAAGGTCCAACTAATATATTCCCATCTTTTTCTCCTTTTAATATATATATATATATATATATATATATATATATATATCGATATAAACTGATGCTATTTAGGAATATGCTGAAAGCTTTTTTCGAGCCATGCTGTGCACATGCTGCTATTTACTGGGGAAAAAGCTTGAAATTGAAAAGTGGTTAGGACTCGGATTGGTTTTATTCCAAAATGATTATTATTAATTACATATCTATTCCATTAGGATATATGAAGATTTTTTTTATTTAAAGCGCATTTGATTAAGAAGATATTGCAACGAGTACTTCAGTTTGCACAGTATTCCAGATAACCAAACGTGATTAATCATATTGAGCAAACTGATGCACTGCATGTGTTGTTATGTTTTTTATATATTTGCTAACATCAAAAGATAATGCTACAAGAACATGAATGCTTATACAAGCAATCGATTAACGATATTTCAAGAGCAAACGATCAGCGATACGGCATGTTATGTCAGCAACATGATAATTGATAGTTTGTTGTTTTGTCTAGAGTAACATGAAAATAACGTGGCGGCAATAACATAAATATAATGGTTCTCATTCGTTATTGCGTATATTTCCTCAAACAAGTTTTTATTATCATAGTTTATTGTCAACAAATTATAAAAAATATGAAATTCTTATGTTTACGATAAGGAGACAGCACATATAATTCTTCAGATTTAATTTATATGTTCATTCGCTTACCGTTATGCGACGCATTATGCGCTATTCCGTATTTAAGTTTTTTTAAAATGAAAATATAGAAAGCCTGTAAAACACATTTAGTAACATTAAGAATGTAATATATTTTTTTATCATTTCAATTTTTGGTACAATTTCAACACAAGGAATTCTAGATCTTGAACTAATTGTTCGCAAATGAACAGAAATAAAATTTATAAATAAAATCATGAATTTTATAAATTGAGTTGTTTTAATTTCATTAATCAGTTATTATTTGTTTAATAATCCAACTAAAAATAAATTTATCAAAAAATATCATGGAATAACATTAAAATATATTAGTATTTTTCGTAATATATAAAAATTATTAATGTGCTGTTAATCAATGAATGATAAATCAATGAATGACAACGTCGCCACAAGTTGTTGCTGAATTACTGTTGTAAATATCTACATGCGGGTAACAAAGTTTTTAATATGTTGTCATCAATTTTGCTGTTCTTAAAATTAAAGTTCATGTGAGTTCAATTCAACAAATACAATGCTGTCTCACTTTGTGCCAAGTTTTTCAATATTAGCTGCTGTAATAATTGTTGGCAATATAACAGCGATTTCACAAATAATTGGCTATCTGGGACGTATTGCAAAGAAATGTTCAACAATACCTGATGATTAATTATTGTGCTATCATCTATAGAATACTTACGTCATATTAAAACCAAATGTAAATAAGCTTAATTAAACGATTGTCGTCTACAATAATTAATCTTAAACTTTTCCTTGTGTAAGTAATACAGCTAACAGTATTTTCAACATAACTCCTGAAATAAACATTTCCGCACTTATGTCCATGTAACATTTTTTCATCCTTCAGGTGTGAGGAATATCTCTTTAAATATTATAATTTGATATACCTTTTTAGAACACCCTGTATATATATATATATATATATATATATATATATATATAAAGGATATTATTAATTGTTTTACAGATTTAGGTCTCTACGTCGCATCAAGATTGTAGAAGTTTCATTATTTTTTAAAATTTTGTTTTTTATTAGATTTTTTATTTTTAAGTTTTTCATATATATATATTAAACACTATTGTATCGTAACTTTTAAATATAATAAACTTTTAAGTATAATAAACTTATAAGCATTCTAATAATAATTGCTTAGAATTCGACAGTTCTTCTTCCTCATCGTCATCTGTCTAATAGGACAAATCATGAGTAACATTGTCTACTATTTCTAAAATCTCGTAAGTTTGATGTGAATATTATAATTGTATTTGGAATAAAGTCCAGATACCACAGAGATAACACTTAGTATATGCATTTAAAAATAAAAAATCTGAAAAAAATAAAAAAAATAAAACTTCTACAATTTTCTACAATTTTGATCACAACTTTGATACGGTGTAAAAGCTTAAGTCTGTAGGTACAATTAATATATATATATATATATATATATATATATATATATGTATATACATACTCGTATGTCAAAAATAATAAAAAATTAATTTTTTCATTATAAATTGTATTTATCTTTACTTTGAAGATGA